CCTCATTCCGCCTCACCTACAACTCCCCAGACCTTTTACCTTTGATATATAAGTGTTATGTTAAATATTTTTTTAAAATACTGGACACATAAGCTAGGTATTCCGAAACGATGACTGAGGATTTTAATCAAACTCATACAACTAACACTGGCAAATACAACGAATTCAAAAAGCAACCCAGGCGAGTTTTATAATTTCTTTTTCTGGTTAATTAACTATGTTGGCTGTACTTCTTATATATTTATATACATTTTTCACGTAGACTGGCTATACATATATACCATATGAACTACTTCTAAAAGTTTTCGGTTGAGGATATGTTTAGTAGCTTGATACGATTAATACTACTATTAATAAGTAGTTTTCTAGACAAAACATTTTGGATTAAACCATGGTCAAGTACTTATTAAAGTTCTCATCATTTTTTTTCATGTTTAGGAAACTTACGTAATGACTTAACCAGTTTTCCTGCAGCATGCTTTTTAGTGTGATCATATAACCCATCTTTGTTGGCAATATTCAGATTTTTTAAATTTCTGACATTTAAGAATCAATAACCGTGAAGATATAGTACAGTGCGTTACTATAAGGTTACTGTGTTAGCCGCATTGATTCCACATACCTAATTTTAAACACAACTTATAAGGGAACTGTTTAGTAATCATGACATTGAACTGACAATATGAATATCACGACTATGCTAACGTTAAACCAATTATTATTAGTGGCCCATACAAAGTCCTGGAACTTAACATTAGCGTTATAAAAAAGACATTTTATGTCAATAACTGATATATATATATATATATATTCGTTGGTTTAAATATAACGTAAAATGGAAATTTACTAAACTTGTAGTTTTTTTTTCTATAGTAATAATATTCATGTAAACAATGAACTTATACTTTTCCAATATGGCACTTTGATATATCAATCTGTCCTCTTGTCATTTTTTCTCTCATATGTGCGCGAATTACGGTCAACAATCATCGTATTGAAGGTGGGTCTGGTGAACAAAAACGCAGGGCCCACACGCACTCGAACCTCTGCCCTCCTGAATGCTAGACCGCGTGCTTAGCCGTTAAGCCACGTCAGACCACGGAGGAAGTGACTTCAATATTTCCTTACACCAATTAATCACTCATAATACTAATGAGTAATAGGACTTACACACTTCTGAGGTGCAAACCAATTCGTTACTTGGATGAATTGACGAAATATTGCTTCAATATATCATGCATACCTAAATCAAACCAGAAAAGGGTATTTGACACAACTGTACTTGATCCGCATACTCTGCACAATTTTTTTGCTTCTTAACCGTATATTCTTTTCCGTTTTGTGGAATACTCTGATGCACCCTTGGTTACGCACCTAGTTGTTAAAGGCGGTCATCACAGGCTCAAGGTCATGCGTTTGATCGATTTTGTTAGAGTCCAACTTCTAGCAAGTTCACCCTTTTACATATATGCATGACAAAAGAGTAAATTTTTTTGTTTTCATGGTTTTTCGTGCACAAGATATCTACACTATGTCTATTTCCTTCCAGAATACCAATCCGTTCTGGAGGTCAAGCACTTACATGGAACCGAACAATTATCAATTACATTTATGTATTTTCATTTTGTATCTTATCATTTTATGCAGGCAGTGGAGCAGTTTTTCAGGCTTGCTTGATTTTCACCATTACCTTTGAAGTAGATTCTTCTTTACCTTTTACTTGAGGGCGACTCAAGAGGCAGGTGAGTAAACACCTGATAGCCGGTCTGAGCATGGAAAAATCGTACCTCACCAACATGGTGTTGGGTAGCCCGCTCGCGGCACTTCCTCAGATATTCTTGTTTCACATTCTCACACTTTCTCTTGAAAGCACGCAGCAAACCGTCAGCGATATTTGTAGAAGAAATCACATGCTACAAAATAAGATGACAAGCTAGTAAATGAAGAGACATCCATGGACTATCGTTGACAGCGTCAGTCGTCACTGATTGTAAGTCAAACAGTGAGCGAGTTGATAATTTTCCCTTGGCATGAGAAATAGAACTAAGGTGTTTTCGATAGATAGGTTAATCGAACCGACGTTCCTACGGAAGTCGATTCTAGGGGAAGCTAATGTAGCAGCTTAGGTTGGTTGGTTAAGAGTTGACCCCAAACAACCAAGCATATGCCAAAACAGTATTGTTCAAGTATTCATTCCCTTCCTTATTTTGTATAAGCGTTATATTCCCTAATATCTTATATTGAATGTTGAGAGCCTTTGTTTGTCTGAACAGATAATCCCACGCTCCACTGTGACTGCGCGAAGACCGAAATAAAGACCTATTCACTACTTGTCTGGTTTCTTCTATCAACAGCACGAGGGTTACTTTAAGGCACGAAAGCTATATCTGTATTAGAAGTGATATAGTTTTAAGTCGCAAGGGGGGAGGCATAACGTTATTTGTTACGGATCACTTCCGTATACAATCAATCATATCTGATGCTCGTGTTAGTGGTTCATGTGAGGTAGCATGTTGCAAGATTAGATCTAGGAATGGGTTGGTGACTATAGAGGGAATATACTGTAGTCTGTGTTGTCTTGCTGACGACTTCATCTTAAGACACATCTGTTCTTGGAGTATGGCAGAATGTTGTCTCATCATTGGGGACTTCAACGCACCGCATATCAACTGGATCGAGCTTACTGCCCCGTTATTCAGTGTGCACTTGTACAATGTATCGCAAAACCGACACATATTGATTTCAATCATGATCCGTCACTGCTGGACCTCGCCCTCACCCACCACTGTGAGGATGTCTTTGATATCCAGCACCTTCCCTCACTAGTGAGCAGTGATCATGTTGTACTTTACTTTAAGTTTAGGACACATGGTATGCAATTTGTATCTACTCCACCCCGTCTCAATATCTGGCGAGCTAATTGAAACTGTGCTACCTCGACTGATTGGCCAGTCGACGCGGATGGATCGATCAAAGACGAATGAAATAAGTTTAAGGCTACATTCGAGTCCGTAACGTCGCCGTTTATCCCATGGTCAGCACCTAAGCTATCATATTGCCTTCCATGGATAAATAGGGAAACCCGGAAGCTGTTAATGCATAGGAAACTCTTCTGGGACTTATTCTTGTTGACAGGTCACTCATCATTTAGGCGTTGGTACTAACAATTCAGGGATATTTGTAAGAAAATCATAGCTAAACCCCGTGACACTTACGAACGACAGTTAGCATATGAATGCCATACTTGTCCGAGACGACTGTTCTGATGTTAAACGGCGACTGAAACGTAGTAATGGTATTCCCTCGTTACTGTTACACGAAAATGCAGATTTACTTGCTGAATCAGATCGCGCAAAAGCTGAGACTTTTTCAAACTATTTTAGCGAAGTGTACTCTATGTTTATTGTAACAAATGCTTGTCCCACTCATACCGAGATACCAACCATTGAATCTGCACAGGTGACTGAGAAAACTGTCCCTCCGTTGATAACTAACCTCAAACCTTGTAAGATACCGGGCCCTGACGGGCTAAATCCATGTCTGCTGTCATCGCTTGTGGACATTATTTCAAAACCGCTCGCAACACTCTTCAACATGTCTCTTTTACTCGCTCAACGCCCTAGAGGTTGAAAAGACGCTAAAGTCAGTCCTATATATAAGGATGGTCACAGACAGATCGTATCTAACTACCAACATGTCAGTCTAACTAGCATTGTCGTTAAGTTACTTGAGAAGACAATTCGGGTTAGCTTGCTAAGCCACATAGACTTACAAAATCTGTTAGCTCCTGAGCAACATGGATTTCGTAACAAGCGTTCATGCTTGACTAACTTACTTATGCGAGAGAGGATTGGACAGCAACCTTAGATAAAGGTCTGTCTGTCGATGTGATATTCATAGATTTTGGCAAAGCATTTGACAAGGTTTCACACTCAGGTCTTATGCAGAAGCTCACGAGATTCGTAATAATAGATACTGTGCAGAAGTGGATAGGAAACTTCTTATGTGACCGCAGACAGAGAGTGAGGGTCAACGGAACGCTATACGATTGGAAGATGGTCAAAAGCAGTGTATCACAAAGCACCATCTGAGGCCTTCTGCTCTTCTTTCTCTACGCTAACGAGTTGCCGCTGTTGCTTAGGTCGTCGAAATTATTGTTTGCGGAAGATGTAAAAATCTGGAGAACGATAATAAGTGCGGCTGACCATCTAGATCTTCAGGCTGACTTAGACGATTTAGTTAGATGGGCTCGAGGTTGTGTCTTAGTAATCAATGCTAGGAAGAGTGTACTAATGCACATCGGTCACGGTAATAGTTACCGTTACACTATTGAGGGTAAACCTCTTCCTTGCTTTCAAGAGCATAAAGACCTAGAAGTAATATTAAGTCGTGATTTAAAAACAACTACGCATTGCAAAACAACCGCTGTCAAAGGTTTTCGTGCGTTATGGTCATTTCGCCGAGCGTTCAAATCTTTTGACGAGGAAACGTTTTGAATTTTATATCCCATATATGTTAGACCACATTTAGAGTACTGTATCCAAGCAGCTAACCCGTGTCTGGTAAAGGATACTAACTCTCTTGAGCGTGTCCAGCGTGTGGGAACGAAATTAGTGAAGGGTCTTTGTCAACTCCCTTACGATGAGCGTTTAAAACGCCTAAATCTTTTCCCCTTGTTGTATCGTAGGACACGAGGTGACCTTATACTGGCATTTTGTATCTTTAATTGTGAGTTGGGTGTTAATATGTCTTATCCCTCCAGCACTTATAATCTCCGAGGTCATAGCAAGAAAGTTCATAAACCACGATCTCATAAACTTAAAGTGGGGTCTTGTTTTTCTCATCGAGTAGTCAATGATTGGAACGCCTTACCCGAACAAGTGGTATCAGCCCCATCAGTGAATACTTTCAAGGAGAAGCTGGACCTTCACTAGAAAGCAATGTGTCAGGATTAATACAGGTTCACCAACCTACTATCCTTATTACTGAAGACTGAATACTGAACATGTACGTATTTCAAATAAGCCGTTACTTTTTGGATGTGTTCTGATAGCGATGTCGTCGTATCCTTATAATTCAACTAGTGAACTGCGTCAGAAAATGACAGGCCTTCGGCGTCAGCTTAGCCATCCTCACCTAAATAAATTCAAAGAAGCCAAAAAGGAACTAGCTTCTATATATGAAGATATTTTAAGTTATGTGTCTGAAAGTCACAAATTTACACGAGAACAAAGTGAAGGTAGTTTTTGTACCAAACTTTAAAAACTCTTACTTACAGAAGAGAGGTTTGCCAGACTTATCGGACAAGGAGTTCATGCTGAAGTTGAACACCATCTCCAGAAAATCCGTAATATTCAGGAAATTATTGCTCGTAATCAAATGAAGTGTGCTTTTTTCGGGAGGTAAGGTATTCCTCGTGTTATTAGACATTCTATTACGAGCTAGAAATGTTCTAGACGCACTATCTAAAAGGGACAGTGGTATTGTTTCTCGTTGAATTAGTTAACTGTTTTGATCGTAAATTACGTATCAAAACTACGATTTACACTTTAATTGAATCTACTACAGTTAAAGTGATATTCTATTGAGCTTTTTTGGCTCTTGCGTACTTATTACATTCGAAAGCATTCTTGGTCTGTATCAAAGTACTTTGGTTTAGGCTTAAAATCTTGCTAAATTTTGTCTTGTGGTAACCTTTTATTCGTTGACTGATATTTGTGTTCATACTGTGATCATATTGTGTGTTACACCTTGATCTGACTAAAATGGTTGGTAGTACTCACAAATGTGGACAACCAAACTGTTTGTTGCCTATGGAGGAGGGAATGCAGTGTGACGAATGCAATAAGTGGTTCCACAAAATGTGCACCCGTTTAAGTCCCACCGCATACAAAAGATGTTCGAAGCCTATCTCACATTGGCTTTGCATGTTTTGCTGTGCCAACAAGGCATTACTAATACAGGAGGCTATGAGCCTATTGGCTTTGGCCTGTTGGAAGAACGACGGCATATGCGCTAACACGGACACTAGCAGTGACGAATGTGTCAGTGTAGTACCTGTTGTTACGCGACGCCTCAAACAACCGACTCTGACCGACGTAAAAGTGAAATCTCCGTTGACATTAACAGGGGGAGTATTACCACCTGGTACTGACATTGTTAATAATGCACCTTTACTGGGAACCGAAGATCTGGATAAAACAGTCACCGTTCCAAATAGTCCCAGTGTTATGAGGGATGAAAAATAAACTACGGTACGTAGGAAACGAAACGAAAAGAAAAAAGCTGTAAGTAGTACACACGTAGTTAGTAACTCATTGGTAGATTCAAATTATGAGCCACAAACTGCACTACCGAGATCTGATGGTAAGAGTGAAACCCATCCTGGCGTGACTGAGAAAAAAATCTAATAACATCGAATATTATTGTAAGCAAATTGCGGGGGTCAAACGACTCTGATCCGAAAATTGGACACGCGCATGACTTAGAAGAGCTAGGAGAATACATTCGTAGTATTTTACCAGATAACTCCAAAGGAGTTCAGGTCAAAAAATTGGTAAGAATAGGCAAGAGGACCGAGGACAATGTTGAACCCCGTCCATGCAGACTCCTTAAGGTAATCCTAGGATCGGAGAAGCAACGGAATCTCTTGCTAAGTAGCGCTCGTTGTCACGACAATTCTGACATCCGAGTTAGACCTGACATGTCTCTCGAAGATAGAATAAAAAGGAAGAAAGCATTAGCTGAACTTGGAACCCGTCGGCAAAACGGCGAGGAAGATCTCCGGCTAGTGGGTTTTCGGATAGTCAGGTCTTGGAAGCGAATGCTACCAAGGCCTGTGTGGATAGGCTATTTTACTTAGGAGTTCTATATGCCAACGCTCGTAGTCTACGAAATAAGTTCTATGAACTAGAAACACTAGTGGACAGGTTAAAGCCACTCATAGTAGCAGTGACAGAAACTTGGTTAGTCTATGACTTAGACATTACTCCAGAATTATCCGGATACCATTATATCAGGAGTGATAGACATAGATGTAGAAAAGGAGGCGGCGTCCTGTCATATATAGCCAATAGCATAAATATCCGCTCCTCTACTAGCGAATCCCATGATAGCGGTACTTGTGAAGTCATTAGCTGTAAGTTGGCTATAGGATGTAGTACATTTATTCTAGATATCATCTATCGCAGCCCAATCTGCTTAGCTGATGACTTTATTTTAGAGCACATTCATCTTTGGAGTGAAAATACCAGATGCTTGATAATAGGAGACTTTAACGCACCTGATATTAGTTGGACTGATATGACCGTAGAAGGATCTATAAACTCCTTTGATAGTAGGTTCCTGATAACAATAATGGAGCATGCACTAGTGCAGCATGTATCCCAACCCACACGTTTTGGTGTTAACCAGGGTTCTTCTCTGCTGGATTTGGTAATCACTCATGAGACTGAGGATATTGTCGACTTAAATATTCTTCCACCGTTAGTAAACAGCGATCACGCTGTTTTGTCATTCGCGTTTAGAACTAGGGACATGTTATACGATCAGGTTACACCGCGCCCAAATGTATGGAAAGCTAACATATCAGCCATTGAGGAATGCGCTGCTAAGACAGATTGGTTAGTAGATACTAGCATATCAGTTGAAGAAGCGTGGTCTGTATTTAAAGGTAAATTTAGACTATTTACGTCCCCGTTCATACCATACCTGGTACCGCGAAGACCGAATAATAGTCCACCATGGATAACTAAAACAGTCAGGAAACTCCTTAGAAAAAGGAAGAATCACTGGAATATGTTCATCTCTACTGGCTTAGAACAATACAGATCCAGTTATTGTAAGATTAGGATTGCCTGTAAAGCGTTAATAAGCAAGACTAGACATTCATACGAAAAAAAATTGGTTAGGGATTCTAGATATAGTCCGAAACGGTTATTCTCGTATATAAAAAGGCGAACTAAGAGAAGCGATGGAATTCCATCACTTTTGATACGAGACAATCCGTTAATCTTAGCAGAGAATGATACCGAAAAAGCTGAAGCTTTATCGGAATATTTTAGTAAAGTGTTTTCTATCGGTAATGAGGAACGACCAATGATTCATCGTGACCGTGACGGCTCGCTGATGGATCCGGTAGTCATTGAGAAAGATACTGTTTTAAGGCTACTTCAGCATCTCATACCTGATAAGTCCAGTGGTCTCGATGATATTCATCCTAGGATTATGAAAGCCATATCAGATGAGATTGCTGAACCATTAGCGATACTATTCGACATGTCTCTGAGACAGTCCAGACTTCCTAGAGACTGGAAAGACGCCATAATAAGTCCGGTGTATAAGGCTGGGAGTAGGGATTTAGTTAGTAACTATAGACCCGTTAGCTTAACTAGTGCAGTTGTAAAACTGATGGAGAAAATCATTCGGATAGCCGTTATAAACTATGTTGAAGGGCAAAATCTTTTCTCCAGGGCACAACATGGTTTTCGGAAAGGCCTATTTTGCTTGACAAACCTCATTGCAAGAGAAGATTGGGCTGCTGCAAAAGATCGGAATGTTCCTGTGGATGTGATTTTCATAGATCTAAGTAAAGCCTTCGATAAGGTTTCCCACTCTGGTCTTAAATTCAAACTAGAACGTTTTGGAATCCATTATACAGTCGTCGATTGGATAAGTAGCTTTCTCCATGACAGGAGACAAAGGGTAAGGGTTAATGGGGCTCTCTCCTCGTGGGTACCTGTAAAAAGTGGGGTTCCCCAAGGTACAATCCTAGGTCCTCTCCTCTTTCTACTTTATGTAAATGAATTGCTAACTGTAGCAAAATCATCCGTTCTACTCTTTGCTGATGACATAAAGATTTGGAGACCCATACATAGTATGTCGGATAGAATAGTATTACAGGACGATCTTAGCTCATTGGTGGCATGGTTAGACAGGTGGTCACTAGAAGTAAATCCTAATAAGAGTGCAGTGATGCAGTTAAATAACTCTGATGAATCGTATGACTATACACTACGTGGATTCGTGCTACCCAAAGCAAGAAACTATAAAGATTTAGGAGTTATATTAAGCAATCATCTCAAAACCACTAGTCACTGTAAGGCTGCTGCTGCAAAAGGCTATAGGGTATTATGGTCAATTCGTAGGTCTTTCTAGTATTTAGATGATGAAATGTTTAGATTACCCGATTTATGTGAGACCACATTTAGAATACGGGATTCAAGCAGCGTGTCCTTGTTTCAAGTATGAAGCAGATATGCTAGAAAGAGTCCAACGACGAGCTACTAAGATGGTACAAGGTCTATCTGGCCTATCTTATGAAAACAGACTGAGACACCTTAACTTATTTCCGTTATCTTACCGTAGATTACGGGGTGATCTAATATTGACTTATCGTATACTGAACGATGACCTTGGTATTAACATGTCTTATCTTTTCTATCTAGGACTGATCATTTGAGAGGACATTCGAAGAAAGTTCAAAAACCGAGATCAAATCGTTTACGTCTGGAGTTTCGTTTCTCGCACCGAGTAGTGAATTACTAGAATTTTCTACCGGAACACGTAATATCAGCACCTGTTAATATTATTCAAAACGAGATCGGACCTCCACTGTATTACAAACTGCAAGGATTAATATAGGTCGATAGACCTCCTATCCTTATTACTGAAGACTGAAGATGTCACACTGACAGGTCTCAGAGACTCTGTAAAGTGACATAAGTTTTGCAAAAACTGTCTTCCGTCCGATGAAATTTCATCGAGATTAATAAGTCGACATACGCTTACCACCTTTACCAAACGCTCAGATGTCTAGAATTAGTAATGAAATTTTTTAAAACAAATGAATGTCATCCCAGATTGTGCCTTGAATAAAGCCGGTACGGATTATTACACTTTTAAGCAACGAAGTCCCATTTATTAATTTACAGTCATGCCTCATACTCTCGTTTGTAAAGCCCAATGGTTTATCTATCAATCGTGTAAGTTAAATCTCAAAACAGTGGCGATACGCACCAAAAATTCCTTACACATTAAATATTTACATAATGACATATCGGTTATAAACTAACATTGAGTAATTGAAAGAAAGTGGATTAAAAATAATCAAAGTTCAAAAAACAAAAAAACATCAAATATTGTTAGGTGAAAATTGTAAGAATAACAATGAAAATGTAGTCAAAGGAGGCTTTGTTTAACCAAAACGTACATTTTGATGCATGATAACCTTGATCAGCGATTGGAGACTAGTTGACATGGCTCAGAATCGTTCGCAATGACACAAATACATTTCATTTATCATCCCCTGTCTCTTAACTTCCAGAATTTCTTCATGCTTACTTTTCCATTACCCCTTTTCGAACCATATTAATATTTAGTTTTGCGATCAATTATTAGATTATCTTAATCTCTTTTGCTATTCATCTTGTCGTGTCACATGTCGCTAAATTTTGCAAGGATCAAGGCTTCTACTTATAAGTTGGCATGTCGTGCTTGTTGAAGTATACAGTGATGAAGGCTGGGTTTAAATAGGCTTATTGTTTTAAAATTTATTCTGGCACATACGGAACCCTTTAAGCTGAATTTCGTTTAAGTGGATTTATGACTAGGAGTGTAGTCAGTGGTAGCAATTTTATTTATCGATTGAACACGCTTTATTAAAGAGATTCTTGACTAAAAAAGTCCTCTGGTAACTGATTTAGGTGGTACTCCGATAGTGTTTCTTTCTTGTATTCGCTTTCCTCAGTTGTCCCTTCGTTTTTTTTTCGTTTTATGCTATGGTCCAAATGGTTAGATTGACTATCATGTTCATATTGCTTTAGGAATCTGTTCTTTTCATGCGAAGTATGTCGACAATGCTTCTTGTATGTAGTGATCAGCAACAAGCAAAATACCTGCTTAACCTTTCCAACATCGCTCATAAAAATATCCAGTTTACCATGGACCATGAAATGTATGATAAGTTCCACGTTTTTGTTACAACAGAGAAAGAGTGGCACAACTCAACGTTCAGTTTATCGCAGTAGAGTTCATCTGAATTTTAAGTGTCCAATTAATTAAAAAAATTCACCTATCAAAATGTTTTTTTTTTCACTGAGTGGCAAGGATATTTATTGATGGTACACCAGGTGCAGAACTACTAAATGTTAAAACGTGCCGAGAGATCAACGGCGTCCACATAGATTTATTGAGGAACCTGGGAAAAGCGGAGACGAAACACGCAAAGAAATCATAATAGACAAAAAACCTTTGTTTATACAACTTGAATTCGAAGGTGACGACGTTACAGTGACAATAAACAGTATTAAAAACACCGACCAGAGCGTATCCTGCAGCCAAGCTGATTATCTCTTTGTTTATTTATTTTAACACATAGATATTGGTACAAGGAGGCACCAAATACACAGGCGCCACACAAATCTCATTTGATACGTGTGAGGGCTGTGATACTGTCCGGGTGCCCAGACCGAAGCAGGTGGTTTTCTTAGGGGGCCACACCCCGAGCCTTCGACCTAAAGGTCTAACCCACAAGGCAATGGAGCATCGTGAAGAGATGCAGTCCCATGGTAGCCGGTGACCGAGAAATTGGCTCATACGCCATTTGTTCCCGCAGGATACTGGAGCCCATGTGCACCATTGGTTTGGAATCCGGTTAGAGCGCCGGACATTCGCTTTTCGTCCTCTCATTTTCGTAAACAACACCCCCGCCACGAGAAGGCAGTAAGTAATACTTCCCTGGCAGAGGCTGTATACGCGCGGCCGTGTGAGAGTATTTCGAGAGGGAGGGCGAGCCCACCCCACTCTCGTCCATATCAGGGCATTTGGGGGCTGGCTAGTGTTCGCATGATTATCGTAATCACTGGCTAGACACTTTGATATACCTTAGAATCGTTTGCAGTGGCGCAGATTCATTCACTCTTTGTCTTCCTCAAATTTCTGAGCTTCGGAATTCCTAATTACTTTCTTTGTGTTTTTGTATCACTTATGTATATTTTCTTGAATCGTATCTTTGATGCATAATCTTTTTTATCACCATACCTATTGTTAGTACCTCTACTATTCTGGAATTCGGCCTGACAATTTCATCTCTCTGTGCTAATGGGGTATGGCAACTTGGATCTATGTACATACGTATTAGGTTTTACATTGTGACTGACTGACTTAGATGCCCATCTCTGATTATGGTCAAGCCCAACAATGTCCTCATTCGTGTCGCAGAGTGGGTCACAGTATGATTGATGACCATACACTAGTAATAATATTGCTCTTTCTTAAATGGAACTAATCACTTACAAGGGTATCATTAGTTAGTAGTAGATAAATAATCTTTATGGTCACTAGGTCGATAGTTTCTCTTTATCAGGATAATGGCTCTACTGGAGTTCACTTGGAAAAATAACCAAAATGAAGGCGTTTTAGAAATCGGTAAACATGTTTTTTATTTCCTCTAGTACTCAGTTTTGATGTTATTCAGGTGTATTGTAATTTTTATCTTTCTACGTATAGAACATCAAATGGAAAGAGTACTGTTATCAACGCGATGTTGGGTTCAAAATTGTTACCTTCTGGTTTGGGTCACACCACCAGTTGTTTCCTTGAAATCCAGGGAACGGATCAGGACTCAGGATATCTTCTAATGGCTGATTCTGATACCAACCCTAAAGAAACGTCAGATATTTCTCACCAGGTTTGATCAAATATTTAATTCGCATTTAAGAACTTTCGAATAGTTACACAGTATTTGGGCGCCGAGTTGATGTGAGACATTAACGTTTCGCCTGGCAATCTGGTCCAAACTTTTTCAAAGAAATATAATCAGGCATCGAAATTATCGAATATAAATAGGTACATGGTTCTTTGGTTCACTGTATACTGAATATGTCATCCAATCTATGTTAACAATGTTTAAAGTAGGTATTTACATTAGTGTGTATTATCTGAATAACAGCAATTGCATTTAACGGTTCTAATCAGTTGTCTTATCTGAATATGTTAAATGATTAACTGGAACATTAAAATAACACAAACATTCAGTTACAATTACATTCTTCCTCTTTGGATTCATTCCTTTATCTTGTTTATTTATCCTCATTTTATGCATGCTGTGACATTTTTGATTCATATCATTTATAAAAATTATATGTTTTCTTAAAGCTCACTGACCAGTGACAATATATAGTAAATGAAATTTCTTCTCACACCACTTACGTATACACACAATCTGTTATCCTAACACTTCGTTTCACATCACATGTCTCTTACATACTAATGCAAATACCTGCTTTAAACATTGTTAACATTGGTTGGATGACATATTCAGTATACAGTGAACCAAAGAACCATGTACCTATTTATATTCGATAATTTCGACGCTTGGTTATATTTCCTTGAAAAAGCTTGGACCAGATTGCCAGGCGAAACGTTGGCTTTACTCCAAATTCATTCACCGAGATTTTACAAATACATTCTTCCTCTTTAATCTAATTAGCACTTTTGAATGATGACTTTTATTTTGTTGTTTTAATGGGAAGTCGATTACATTTTAGTGGATAGTCTGAAATATAAATATTTTTTGTCTTAAAACTTGTTTTAGTTTTGTGGGTGTACTAAAATTCTATATTCTGCCATTCATCTTATAACTTGTGGTTTTCTACTTGAGGTTTACTTTATTTCACCTGTTTCAGCGAGATAGGAATAGGTTGGAAGGAATTTAGGGTGGAACATATCAAGGCGTTATCAGTCCATACAATCATTGACTGCTATTGACAGGTACAAGCTACATGTTGAGTTCTTCGCGGCAACTCTAATCAGTGATCAAAGACGTTAATTGACATTGCAGAACCATGTACAGTAGCGCAGATGCATTCATCATTTATATTCTACCATTCTGGAAAAATAGGAGCATAGCACGATAATCCTAAAGAAAGATTTGTGTTCATTTACTTTCATGGAACGTATAACTTTTCGAAATATTTGATTCATATCTTACTACTTAAATCTATTGCTAAGTCGACCCAATAATTAAAATAGTCCCAGTTGTACTGGCACAATCTGTTAATCAAGTTAATTTTTCTTTACTCAGGCTCGTCCTATTGATTCCGTTGGTCAGTTAGCCCATGCATTAAGCAGTGTCAAACTTTCCACAGATACACTACTAAAAATATTCTGGCCAAGTTCATATTGTAGGCTGTTACGTGAAGATGTTGTTCTACTAGATAGTCCAGGGATTAATGTTGATCCAGATATGGATAGATGGATTGATCTTCACTGTTTGGATGCGGATGTTTTCATTCTTGTTGCTAATGCTGAGTCAACATTAATGCAAGCTGTAAGTAATTCACATATTTTATTTTGATTGGTAATTTACTTATTTATTTGAACACATTGGTACAAAAGGGGCACCAAATACGTATGCACCACACAATAACAATGAGGTTGTAGAGATATAGAATGTAAAGAAAGGGGTAATTTTACCAAGATCAATACGGTTGTATATCTTTTAATGTACAAAAATGATGTGGTCATAGTGATATATATGTATTTGAAGGTTATTTAATTGTGAATTGACTATTATAAAGATTAGTATTAAATTCACTATCGATAATTAAAAACGCACTGTGAATGTTACTTCTTTGAGTTATTTTTTAAGGACACAGTATGAATTCAGTTTGTTTTGTATTGCTAATCATTGTAATAAATTATTTGAAGCCAAAGATTATAGTAATCTAATAGTTAAAACATTAAACTTTTCAGCTGTTAGTTTGTAAGTCTGAACTCCGTTCTAACCAATTTAATTCGATCATTCGGTTAGTGTCATTAACTCTTACACCGAAAGTTTATCTAAACGTGGAGTATATGAACTTGCACCTTGCTAAATGAATCGTATTTTATTTGAATTTTTTGTGGAAAAGCTTTAATCTCCACTATTTGTTTCAAATATTTTAAATAAGAGTGACCGGAATTCGTTTTTTCCTTCAGATAAAAGTTCTTCTTGTGTAATAAATTTTTCAGGAGAAAGATTTCTTTCATAAAGTCAGTCAGAAGTTATCCAAACCAAATATTTTTATCATTAATAATCGTTGGGATGCTTCAGCAAACGAAATTGAATATATTAATGAGGTATGTGCACATTTTTCTTGTTTTAGTTATATTCTAAACTTCCGAATACTTATTGAGAGTCCACTAAAAAGTGTTCAATTAAGCTTAGTCATAACAAGATCATTAAGGCCCACTTTTCTAAAGTTTTTTTTCAGGGAGAAGAGAGCTATGGTAGAAAGACAAATAATAATAATGACTATTTTCCTTTTATAAGACATACGGTAACGTGATTGGAGTTTATAAACACCCCTTTACCAATCAAATTTTGTAATGGATCAACATCAATCAGTAGCTCAGTGAAAACCATAATTCGTGGAGATGTTTTCTCCTTGTTCGAGACTCTTAAGAATTACATACGCGTTGGAACATGACCTTCAGGTCTGGTGATGCGCATACCATCTAGTCACTGAGTCTGACGTTTAATAGTTTAGATTTTCAACTTTCGTCTATTCGCGATATAATGCGACCATCTTTCAACTTCATCAAAGGATAAAGGCCGTATTCTTAGCGTGATTGGAACCATAGACTATAACTCAGTAGCTAAATTCCCAACTTAGGTAAGGGTATCTATATGGCTTGAACCATCTTTTTACTCTATCACTTTCTCAGTATAATAAAATTATACATATGTAGATTCCACCTGCATTATTTCGATTTTCCTACACTAACTATAATTTCCAAGAATATTACTTTCTAAATTATCATAATTTTTACTTAAATTATTTATCTTTTTAGGTACGTGAGCAACACCTGCAACGTTGTGTAGCGTTTCTTGTTGATGAATTAAAAGTGTGCACACGTACAGAGGCAGAGGGACATGTTTTCTTCGTTTCAGCCCGTGAAGTTCTAGCGATGAGAACAAAAGCGAATTTAGGTGGCGATCCACATTCAGGTCCTCCTGGAGCGGCTACAAGTATTGGGTCTCCTTTGTCAGCAGGTGGGCTACTATCATTAGTGCTTTCTTATCAAGCTTATATTTATCTGTTTGCTGTCTGATAGTCAAGGATGTTGTGTAGTGACGAGTTACATTCAATTGATTGTTCAACGATGATCCGTATTGTCGCGATGTGGTCTGTGCATGACCGATCCTCATGGGATCCGGTCTGTTAATCTGGATGTTTGGCGTCCATTTAATATTTTATCTGGTTAAGCATCAGTCTGTTGAAAACGTTTGCTAGTACCGATAGTAATGTGATGCCTGTGTAGTTCTCACATTTGTTGAGATCTCCTTTCTCTGGTATTTTGATGAGGTGTGCTTCTTTCCAGTCTGTTTGTGGTGCTTGTTCTTCACAGTTCTTTCTGGAGAGAATGTGGAGCATCTTTGCAGTCAACCTTGTGTTTAACTTCAACAGTTCGTTTGGTATGTTGTCAGGTCGTGCTGCTTTCTCATTGTTGATTTGTCTGATGGCCATCGTGATTTCTTCGCTTGTTGATGGAGTAATATCTACAGGGAGGTTAGTGTATGCTGCTTCGATGTCCGATAGGTTCATTGGGACCGGTCTACTCACGAGTTCTTCCAAGTGGTCTACCCACCTATTCCACTGTCCTTGGATCTCGGTGATTTGTTTGCCTTCTTTGTCCTTGACCGGCCTCTCTGGTTTACCATATTTCCCTACCAGTTTCTTCGTTGTATTGTATATTTGTCTCAGATTTCCTTCTCTTTCAGCTTATTCCTCTACCATTGCTAGGTCTTCCACGCATTTCCACTTGTCGATTTCTCTCTTGGATCTCACGTCCTACATGGATCTTCTGAATTTTGTAGTGGTTCAAATATTTTTGATCTGGTTCTCTGTATTGTGATCCAGTGAGACACATGAAGATTTATGTATGTGCTTGTGGGGGAATATGGGGTCATTTATAGTCATTTTATTGAAGGCACATAAATCTGAAAATCTCTCGCCATTCTCGTTCCTTTCTCCCAGTTCTTATCATCAGTGCAACTCCCTGTGTGGGTGAAGCATCCTCTTTTTCATGATCGAAGTACAACAGTATCGCTGCCGAATCTACTCTATTCTATCTATTTTGGTTCCAATAGTTTTCACTCATTTCAAGCACTTCCAATTTGTATCTCCTCAGTTCCGTAATTATTTGACTGGTCATCATGGTCCCTCACATCGCTTGTTCATCCCGTAATCTCAATATATATACGGATAAGTGGAAATCCCTTTGTGAATTATGGGCTTGTCATGGTGGTTCTGTGTATAATTAAAATCACTACTTATTACTTTAGAACAAATAAGACGTTAGCCAGCTCTTATGGATTTCTGATTCTAATAAAATTTGACATCGAAATATAACTTCAGTACGTTTCTCTTTACGTCCTATCGGGATCATTAACTGTCCATAATCGGATAAAACACCTGATTAATACTTCATCAAAGTTAAGAAAAATTAGACTAGTTGTTTGTATCGTTCTATCAGTTATAGTTTCTCTAATCTAAATGGATGATCTCTATATTTGGAATTTACAGCAAATAAATTTGGTTGTTTATTTAAAACTACCATATCGTTATTAGTTACTCTAATAATTTTGTGACATTACATTGGGATTTTTTAGTGGCCTATATGGCTGAGGGTTGGCAAGATAGGCTCGTGGAGTTTACAAATTTCGAAACTGTTTTCGAGGTTAGTGGTGGTTAAATTTTATTTCTATTCCCTATTTATGCATTGAAGTAATTTATTTGTGACAGTTTTTCTGTTTTATGTTTTGTTGTATGTGGTTTTCTGTTTTGTCCTCCATTACTGATGATCAATATGATTTCATTAAATGCACTAATCACTCGTTGTATATTGGGCCTTATAATCATGATACTGTTGTGATTCAGTGGATTTCAGACACTGAATTTTCAACTATAGGACTGGGATTCTCAACTACACTGTACTTATTTAGATTTAACAGCTAAGTAATTACTATACACCAAGTACAGCTTATAGCCTAGTTTTCTTACATACTGTTAGATTCCTAGTTTTTAAAAAACTCTTTAAAGAGCTTACAGTACTTGGAACACTGTCTTGATGGTCATAACATTCGACTTCGAAAGACTGTTTCAGATTCTAACATCGCTTCATCTAATTCCTTTGAGAAAACTGACTGGTGTCAATCGAGTGCATTAACCTGTAGTCGTCACATAAGCTACCTTATTTCAGTTGGTCTAAATGTATTTAAATGAACTTTCTACGACCCTTTATTGTCGATATAAGATTGTACTGAGTTCACTAGTTACATTTAAATTTATTTGATATATTTTTATGTTCCTATCTGTATGGGGAGATCCATTTGTAGTGAATAACTGTCTTGAAAATCATGCATTGGTGAATTTTATCTATAGTACTTATACCTCTATCGTTCAAAAAGAAGAAAAATCAATTTTAAATGTAGGGTAATAGGTTCAATTTACTTTTGTACCACTCATGGGTAATCTCAGGACATTCTTACCCTCGATAGTCATCTTGGTGCACTTTTACTTAAATTTCACTTGAATTATACAAATCGAAGTCGAATAATGGTATTTGACAAGTTCCAGGTGAAGTCATCACCAACTTTTCAATGTAATTAATCAGTTGACAGAATGTAAACTATCGCAATATAAAAGAATACTAATAATCAAGGTATTAATGTTTTGAATTGATCATGTTAGAGACAGATTAGTATATTTATGTGTGTTGCGTTCAAATGCATTCAAATATAATTACAGTAATACTTGAGATTATTTTAAATATAATTTTCACATATAATGACTTGTAATTTATGACTTATTGAACTCCAGTATTACTTCTTGTGAATTTATTTTTTCTTTTATATAGAAAAATCTTTCAGAGTCTGCTACTCGTACAAAATTTGCAGCTCATTCTGAACAAGGCAAGGATGTAGTGAATAGAGTTCGTACAATCATGGAAAATATCTATGAGACAACAGTTGAAGAAAAGTCAGTATTCTTTTATTGTTAACATTTTGATTTTATTTTAATTGTGATTTTTGTTCGATATTTTATGTTGTTAGTGTTTATACTTGCATATTTCTTTATTTTGAACTTTTTTCTACATTTATCCTCATTATGAAAAGGATTATTAACATTGATTATAGACTGTAAAAATTTATTGAATTCTGATCTATTTCGTTCTTTTTATTTACTTTATCTAATATTAAGTTTAGCATCGTTTATACAACATTTTCTCTATTTTGATCCTCATATTATTGAGTTATACTTAGGCTACGTCTATCAACCCTATCAGTTTTTGATGGTTTAGTTTTTCACTGCTGTTGACACTATTTTCGTTTATTCACATTTTCTGTTATTATTTTCTCTTCGCCATAACAGTTTAACATGTGATAACTTGAATCGAAACATATTCGAGTCGAGTATTACGTTGTTTTCACCTGAACGTGATAATTTAGACTTCTTGGCAGTATTACTTTGCATTCAATCATACCTTTAGATCATCTTAAGTTACTTTATTTAGAATGTTTTACGTGTTCTGACTTTCAGAAAGCTGTTTATTTTAACGAGTTAACTAGTCTTATGAGTATACTTTTATTGACAAAGTTATTTTTTATTTATAACCATATTGGTTATCATATGTTTGTTGTTATGAATTTTAATTTTATTCACTTTTTTTCTGTATTAGAGATGCTGCCGTTCGTTGTCGTCGTCTTTCTCAAGCACATCTTGAAGAGGTACGTGCCCGGTTGATGAAGACAACCCAAGCTGTAGATGAAATGCTTCATGCTAGTTTGGCACGTGTTGAAGCCCAAGTCGCTAGTGCATTAAATGCTGAAATTCGGCGCTTGAGTGAACTTGTCGATAGTTATTCGCGTCCTTTCCATCCAGATCCAGCTTTGATTCACGTATACAAGCGAGAACTAAATACACATGTTGAACGTGAATTAGGCAGAAAACTTACTGAAGCTTGTTCTAGTGATATTCTTAATGAAGTTGCTCGATGTGAACAGTTAATGATGAGTAAGTTTTTTTTACAAATTTGAATGTTAATTAAGTGTAACAAGTTTTTTGAAACTTCCAACTACACTCACTCATGTGTTAATAGTCGGGGGCTTCACACCATAATAGTAATTCATAGTGTCCACATTTTTTTGCAGTACCGTTTTTGAGTACTGCTAATCGACTTAAGAATTATTAAGCAAAAATTAAGTCTTTTTATTTTCATATGCGTATTTGTAAGTGTGATGAAATTAATTGTTACTTTTGAAAGTAACCTTCTTGTATACACATTAGAGTTCTGATTGTGAATTATAATAGCTAAATAACTCACTAAATGTTCTTACTGTAAATGCCTCTAAATTTAGACTAAAAATTGTTAAGCACTTGATCTGTTAAGCTCTCATATAGCTGTTTGTTTACTGCTCTTTATTATTAAAGTCCAATATGATAAAATAATTGCTTTCTAAATATTTATGTAATTTATTCGTATATGAAAGTGGTAAAGTTGATCCAACATAGTCATTATCAGAGTTGAAGATGTAGGGTAATACTCGTTTGTCCGGAAGATTTAAAATTCTATCATTAAAATAAATAGTAATGTGAAGTACCAGGTTTTCACCACATTTGACAAAATTTCTATATTATGCATGATGTATAGTTTTCTGAATTGGCTTTCACTCTTTTTTTCGTTTCAGATAAACATGCGGCAATTGTTTCAGACGAAGCTTGTAAAAATCGTATACTTCAGCTAGTTGATCCTACTGCGTTTACTCCGGAATTCCATCTTGATTGTCGTAATTTGTGTGCGAATTTTCACGAAGATATTCAGTTTCGTTTTTCTCTTAGTTTGGGAACGCTGTTCCAACGGTTATCAGCCCCACGTCGTTCGACAAATAGTGTAAGTTTTCTGTCAGTGTATAGCTATTCCGTTAATTGAAAAAATGGAATTTTTTAGTCGTTATATGTAATGTAAAGCGTGGTGATTTGCTAGTTAAAGCATTTAACTTTTAACCACATCTTCCATTATCATGTCAACTATTTGATTTCAAACAGCTAAACAGAATCATTGGCCCTTAAACAAAATGTGTAATTTAGGAAGTGTTCTTGTTTGTTGAGACGCGGTACTCTTCAACACTAACAAATTAATTAGATTGTTTTTAAGGGTGCTAATAAGTCGAAGACTTCTTTCTGGACTAAAACTTTCACTTACTATCACTTCCAGTTTATTTTAACAAATGGTTGCATTTGTACACCGTTCTTTTTTACTGTTCAACTTTTTTGAAAGACAAGGTATCAGTTAACTAAGTAAACGGTTTATAGACATTTCTTTTGAAGAATATACGAATTCAGAATTGTTTTATATGCATAATTTTGATAGTTTGATTTGTCTTTATTAATTCATCAGTATTTTTTCGAAAGTCTTCTAACAGAAACACGTCATTGAATAATGTCCTAAAATTTTAATAGGGATTTAATTCGATAATGGTAAAAGAAAAAGAATCTGAGGATTCTTTTTTTAAGAATTTGTTATCACACTCAGTTTTCCTCGTCTACACAAATTGGACGCTAATTTGTCTTAGACGAATATCTACACTGGATATCCTCCCAGTGTCTATTCTACAGGACTACAACACAACTCAGATTAAGAACACGTGACTGTTTAAACTAGAACGTAAGTTTATTTTCACACTAAAAACGGACAACAATCCAATGATATCACTTGGTCGCCATTTATCGAATATCCGTCTTTTAAGTCTCCTATCTAGCATATTGTTACCTATTATTGATAAAGTGCCCATGTTGATCTGATTAATATCAACCTTTTGGTCATATTTTAAAGGATTGATGTACTTATTGACAACTGATTTTGAAATTAAAAAAAGCTTGTATCACAGAATGTAACTCGGTATCATGAGTTGTACTGTAGTGTATACTACTTATACTGACAAATATAAGTAGTATGTAGCACCAATAGGAAGTGAGATGTCTGCCAGAGGATTGAATTAAAGAGAACAGGAAGTTAAACAGAGAGCAATTGTAATAACAACCGGATTGAAAGAATGAAGACGTATGTACAGGACAACTGAGGGAAGATGTGCAAATAGTGTATTTAATGTATGATTTTTAGATTTTACGAAGGCATTGTATAATTTTGCATAAAACAATATATTGGTTTTCCTCACCTGAGTTCTCATTCACTACAGTACTGTGTCAGTCTATAGGCGTGGTTATAAATCTAGATAATACTAAAAGTAATTAGTATTTCGCCTAATTAATCAAAGGATTACGTTATTTAATGATAAATATTTCGAATTCTCCATGTTTTACGATCATGTTTAAATGTTTTATCTCAATTCAATATGTTTACGTTTTAAATGATCTCGTATTAGTAAAATAGCAATTATATGTAAACGTGTTTGGTTGTTTAATGTATAATCAGGTAGTCGATGTTTCTTATTCATTTTACTTTCAGTATCATTGGACACAATCTGATGGAATTCCTTCTAGTTTGGTTAACTCTTCCATATTACCCAGATCTTCATTGACTGTTGATTTATTCCCTTCTCTTATGAGCCGAGGTGCTGTCGGTACTGTTATTGCTTTTGGAATTGTAAGTTTTAATGCATTTGACATTGTGTTGTATTTACGGTGTTTTATGAATAAAAAGAATAATAAGTTTTAATAACTCACTCAATGTTCTCTAGTTGTATATATTTTCAAATTTAATGCATAGTCCCAATAGATTTCACTACTTGTTTCATATTTCTTTTTCTGGGTGTCATTATTTACATATAAGTGGTATGATATATGAATAAATCATCCATCCACTATTTTCACCATAACTTCTTCCTTGATAAATTTTGAGCAAATTGTTCAAGATGGTAGAGATTTTATTTATGATCTAAATCTCTCGTGCTCACCTTTTAAAATTACTTGTTTGTCATTGCGAACGTCAATCAGAAAGAAATTATTTTTTATGGCTTGTGATAAACATCTTTTGATATTTACATATTCATAATTGCTATTGGAGTTGCCGGTAAGGATCTTATCAACCTGTATTTTATTAAATTACTCTTTTATAAGATTATTTAGAAATTATAAATTGAGAATTTCATTTTAATACTTCGAATTCGTTTCGTTCTGTGGCAACAAAGGTGTATTTTCTTTTGTTCCAAATAGTCAATGTGTCTGGATAGGGTATGAAAACGCAGCTTGCTTAGCACAGCAATACAAACATTTATTTGTTCATTTATGCTCCTTCGTTGCTTGGTATGACAACTTTGATTTACAGCATCTATTAGATTGTCTAATTTCATCAACGACCATAATGTGAGGTCATGTATAGTCGATCAGTTTTTCCAGCATCAGATCTACGTACATACGCCTGTTATCTTGCCACAGTTTATCCACTTTTTCACTCCAAATGTCTCTCATTTTCAACTTTGATAACATGATTGGATGATTTGTTTAGTACATAGTCCATTTGTAAACCATATATTTGTATCCAATCATTTTAATGATTTTCTTTGCAAGAGCTTGAACTAGATTGCCAAGCGAAACGTTGAGATTTTTATAAGTCTAATATTCTCATTCTTAGATAACTCGACTCAAAACTACTGTGGAACTATTTGTTCAAATTTAAATGGTTATTCTTGTAAATGTTCGTAATTCCGTTTGAAAGTGAAGTGACTTTTATAAGTTTTGTGAAAATCGATTTTATTAGATTGCAATACTTTTTCATATTGTCTTAAGTACTTTGCTTTCTAAAGTTCTTAGTGTAATGGTAGGTTTCTGTTCATTCATTTCTTCAAAAAACGTTTTTGAATCAAGCATTACTTTTTTTTGTTGATAAAAAACCCAACCATACTAGATGTCTAAAGCTGTTGGTTGGCGAGTTCTAGCAGTGGCTTGTGGAATATACGGTGGTTTATATCTATACGAACGACTTTCTTGGACAAATAAAGCTAAAGAGACTGCTTTCAAACGTCAATATGTCGATTTCGCTTCCCATAAATTACGTTTAATTGTTGATTTAACTAGTACAAATGCTCGGCATCAAGTAAGTTTTGTGATAAAGTTTTAAAAAATTCTTTGGTTTGTTCACTGAATAATTTTAAGTGTAAAAAATAATTTGATAATAGCGATAACATCTACTTTGTTTTGATATACTTGATATAAATGTATAGAACTTTAATAGTTGTCGGCAGATTTGGAGTAGTTTTAATTTTTGAAAATCTAAATTTTAAGAAATCCTCCCACTTGCTGATCTGTGTACTTAAAACTGAACAACATATTGCTCAGCTTTTTTTCCAGTTGCTTTATCAATATTCCTATTTATTCATCCTAATACATATATACACTTTTATTATTGGAATTACTTAAAATAACTTGTTATCACTATGTTATTATTATTGGGGTTTAAAGTATTATTCTCTTGTGGTTAGTTAAATAATTAAATTACTCAGTCAGTTTTCAATTATTTAACTGTAAATTTGAACTCTGTTCTATCTAATTTGGTTTAAGTAGTCAGATATAATTAATAGCCTTGATACAAATGTATAGTTAAATCCCAAAAGAGGTTTTTAGTATAAATCCACTTTTAAATTTGTTTGTAAATATGTGTTTGACATGTTTTATTTATTTTCTTAGGCTAAAAGAGAGTTACATCTAGCTCATAAGAAGTTGTCCACGGAAGTGGAGAATTTCAGTGATACTTTAGTTGAAGAAGTGAAACAATTGGATAGTGATATAAACCGTCTGGATTTCATTACTACAGAAGCAAGGAAACTTAAGTGAGTAATTTAATTACATTGTATTTTAAGCTGTTGAATATATGGATCTTACACTATAGATATGTTAGTGTGAACATGGAACTCTTTGTTTTATGTCCTTATTTATTATTCTATCTACTGTGCTAATAGTGTAAAACATTATCTGTTTCCAAAAGAAATCCTCCTTACAATTAGCCTAAATTATTTGTCACTTCTTTTGAATTCGTTCATAATTTTAGTTTTAAGTATAAGGGATATATGGAATATATCAAATAAAGGATGTATTTATAATAACAATAACAATATTTTATGAAAATAAGTACAGAATGTATGTCAGTTTACCGCGTTGATCAATTTGATGCAAATTACTTGGTTATAATAACAACAATAATAAATTTAAGGGTACGGCGTCTGAAAGAATGTGATTTCCATGTAACTTCAAAATGAGAATTTCGAATAAAATGATCAAAGTTATAGATGATGTACAGTTCTGATTAAAATGATTTTACAGCACAACATTAGTGATTATTCACATTCCATAGAAAAAAATAACAACAATTAAATAAGGTGAACATCGAACTAGTTTACTGAAGCGTAATAGACAATTGAAGCATCTATGTGTACGTACATCTTCATGTTATCATGATTAAACTGTCATTAAAAAAAACAACGATATTTCGTATATGGCCATTTTTTAATAGGGAGAGTCACTTACTTAAACTGTTCACATTTCTCTTAAATCTCACATTGGAAATATTTATTTTTTTAAAGGTAAACCTCTTTTATTTACATGTATTCCTTGTTGGTTATACTTTCGTTTAGAAAATAATAAAGCTTATTCAACTGTTAACTATTTGTCAATTAATTTTCTTCAATTTTTAATTTACAGAAATCGTGCTAATAACTTGGGGAATATTTTGAATAAATTTCATGAAACATTTATTTTAAATCCATGGGATGAATCTAATTAGAAGAATTCAATTTATTCTTTTAGTGTTTTCTTTCCTTTCTTTTGGAAGAAGAAATGTTCATCTATGTTTTAATCCATCCATTGATAACCATCTTTGAACAATATATATATAGTTCAGTTTACAAAATGAAAAACATGACGCAAAAAACAAAATCTCGAATTGAAATATCTTCAAAAATCGTTCTAGTAGTATTATTAGTTAGTTACAGAAGCAGTAGTATGGTAATAATTCATTGGTTACAAAATTGTATTCCTCAAACAATTTAATTTGCCCATCTAAACGATAATAGTTTTATTTGGGAACTTGTATTGTATATTATGTATGGTATTAATATGTCATTTAATTGTCGACATCATCAACCACATCCTACTTAGTCGATAGATGAGCGCTTATTATTATTACTATTATTATTATTGGTTCATAAATAACTTTTTTAGGGTTAACATATAATTGAATGTATGTACAACATAAGATATAATTCATACGAATTTTTTAAAATTGAATATACATTGATAAACAGTATAAGTTGTTTTTTTCATGGTTAACACTTTCATCACCTTATTCGTTGGTATTATAAGTTTATATTATGTTTCAGTAGATCATTCATATTTCTGGTTTACGCATAATAATTAAATTTATTTTGTATTGTTTGTTTGAATCTTCTCATTGATGTTTAGAACTGCAATTGATCAGTCTCTTATTGACATATGTGCATTCTGTACTGATTGCCTGGATATTGCCTTCGTTGAAAAGCATTATAAGCAAAGATGGTTGGTGGCTAGCAGTGGAATTTAGGACGCGCGTTTCGTCCTATTTGGGACTCGTATGCTGGATGTACCTGATCAATCGAGGTCCTAAACGTCAATGGGAAGATTCAAACAAACAATACAATGAATTTAAAACTCCACCCCATTTCACAGGCAAGTGGTTATCAGGACTTAGTAGCCAAGTGGATAAAGCTATAGCATTTGAAGCGAACAATGCTGAGTCCGGGTCCCGGAATGAACATCAACTCTGGGATACAGATACATCCAGCTGACGAGTCCCAAATAGGACGAAACGCGTGTCTTGAATTCCACTGTTAGCCACCTATCATATTTGCACATAATTAATTGTTTACAAATTTTCATCATATTAATAAAACATGGGTCATATAAACAAAGAATATTCTTTTCAATAAATTCTCGTCAGGTTCTATCGCTACAAAGTCAAATTTCTAAACCAAATGTGAGATAACCCATCGTTTACGATTAGATTATATAAATGTACGATTGTAAAAATAAAATCAGATTTAATATTGAAATTATTAGTATTCAATGTTCACTTGAATTACATTATATGTTAAATGAAATCATGAGATGATTGATAATGAAGAATAAATTTAGATAAAACAAAATAAGGGAATAATGTAATTATTAATCAAACCAAATGGTTGGTTTACGACTGGGTAATGCATAAATTGATATGAATTCAGTAAGAGATATTGAAATAGGTTGATAGTTAATTAGATTCTTGACGTTTACAAGAAGAGTAATAATGATACGAAACATGTGAATTATAATAACAATATTTGAATAAGATGAATGTAGGTTATGAAATTACATAGGGTAAGGCTATGTGTCCATTAGTCAAGTGAGGTCATCCTATAATTAAGATGATGACTGACTTATCGGGTCTGAAGTTTCCTTAGGCAAAAGAAGAGGCTGGATATATTTCCTTTTTTGGTTCAAATAGCTATTGCTTCTGCTTCTAAAGAAGAAATACAAATAGGTCATTAACATGTTTCTAAAAGATGACAATTTATTGATTAAGTAGCTAAATAAAGGATCGAGAGTTCTCGAAAAAATGAGTGGCATCACGAACAACATTTTAGAAACTAGCTGACCAGACATCTAATTAATGAGATAGATGATGCTCTTAGCCGACCATTAATGACGCTCAGGTCAACAGAGAACTGCATAGAATTTTCAACTGTTTCAGCCGAAGGTGGATAATACGCTGCTCCTTTGTCAACATTATATGGCGCAACTTGTTTGGTTAAAAAAGTTCTTACCTAGTCTAGAACCTAATAGTCAATGTACTGCGTCTCCATTCATTTATTTATAGCTTTCACTGCTGAACGCGATAGATTTTGGGAATAAGTATTACGTTAACGGGAATTTCAATACCTTCAGCAATAATTATTACATTTTGTTACAATTTTCTGAATTATTTACTCATATATTATGTAATTTTAAGCTTTATATCTGTTGGTATCTTGTTTGCTCAATTATCTAGCTTCATACGTGTATAATAATAAATTCGGCAATCGTCTGTTTCGTAATTCGATAAACTTGCAAAAATATTTCTAAAATGTTCCCATAAGATTTTCATTAGTTTTGTTTTCAAAATGAAATATATCACTTAATGTGTATTCATGTACAATAGATTAACACGATGAAGTTTTTATGCACTAACCCGCATTATGCTTGCGTATAGTATGTCGATATCATAACATTTTGACACTTCGTAAAATTCATGCATATTTTATATCTCAGTAATTTCTGTATATCATGGTTATTCTTTCCGATTAACCAGTTTTTTGAACACTGGTCTGTATCTATATTCTTTATCCACCGTTTGAAATTTCCTATTTCTATATATAATAATGAATCAAAATAATATTAGACTTTTGAGCTTGAAACTTTTAAATGATTAGTGTACACAAAAGAATTTTATAAAATTGAAATGTACGTGCAAGTTAATGTGGGCACATAGGGCAAAAGAAAATAATATATCATAAAACTTTTAAAAGCTACATGTTTATATGTATATGATGTACAGTAATTTAAAGATAGACGTTCTAGCTCATTAATGTTTCCAATTGGCGTAGTAGTATGTTGATGTACTTCAGACCTTTGGCACATTATAAAAGTTTGTGCTCATTGCCATAAATCACCATTTATTTGAGATCATCTAGGTCTCTAACTAATTTGCTTGATGCCCGAATACCAATGTGAAATCTTACACAGTTTGTCGAGGATGTCTTCATAACGTTGATAGGACAAATTATCTTAGTTGGCTGGTAGTCACCACATATTATATTCGTCGTGTCTGTGAGCAGTTTTTCTAATCCCAACAAGGTATGTCCATTCGTCAATCAACTCTGCACTTCATAATTATCTAATTGCAATCATTCTATCATCTGTAAATTGGAATCATTACACTGGAATGTATGCATACTTGTTCATGATAATGCATTAGCCACTGAGTTCTTATTACCTTCGTATGGTGGACGCAAATTGCGGGATAAACTCTAGATACCGGATCTCTGTGAATAATAGTCATATTTGTTATCTAACGCTTTTGTAAATGTTTTATAATCAGTGTATACTATAAAGCTGTTTTGTTCAAGAGTGTATCTAGAGTGCTTTATTGCTAGATATATATCTAATAATCCCCAGCTAAAAGTAATACATCTCGGTTGAGTCAGACTCAGTCATTTAGGAAAGAAAGACAGAGGTTCCCATTTTCTCATTAACTGACTGTTAGAAAACGGCTAATATGGCCACGTTCGATGCTTCTGTCATTATACCTAGTAATGACTTTTATTTCGAACCAGCAATCTTTTCGTTTAGTAAGTTTTTGGCGTGCTCAAATGCCTGTGTGACTTTGGTCAGGAAATAGGAAGTACGCATATGTCCTCGCAATATATTTGTTAGTGGTTGAGATGGAGCAACACAGAATGAAATGAATCACCCACAGAAATTTACCAATCTCAAAAGTTGCTTTTAAATCGGATGGGATAGGTGTCGTACCCATTTCATAAGCCAGGAAATACAACTATTTCTTAACACACTTCTCAGGGTTTATAACCACTCCATATTTCGTTAGTTTTGCGAATATTTGTCTGAAGCACTGTAGTTGTTTTTCTCCCGACGCACTTGTAATTACCAGATTTTCAATATAAATGTACACAATTGGTATGCCTCAGGTTATCTGGTCGATAGCATGGAAATGTCTGGCCATTGTTCGTTGATTCCAATGGCATGCTTAAAAATTTGTACAACCCAAAAGGCGTTGTAATGGCTGTTTTCTGTGCATTAACTGGAGGCATTTAGATATGATGTTTACGTACCAAATCAGTCTTCGAGAATATTACTGCACCGTATATACTGTTATCAAAGCCGTGGATACAGGGTCTGGGTACCGATCTGCGAGAGTTTGTTTATTCAGGGCCTGACAGTCGCCAAGTGGTTAGATTTCTTCCTTTTTAGTTAACATAGACAACGGAGATTACTGGGTTGCTAGACGGTCGAATGATGCATTTGTTCATAGATCTATCAGAATAACCTTCCTCTATCTCCAATTTTGCTGGGTCTAACCTCATTTAGTGATACTTTCATCATTATGTCGTGCTGTACCTCATGTTCAGAATATTTGCTTCTTCATGACACTATCGTCAATTTGGAAAATTCTGTTAGCGATGGAGCGTGTGGATTAGAAGACACTTGGAACATTACCAAGTTCATCGGTGACGAGTCTGACCCCTCTAATCGTTTTTGCATGACCATTGTTTAAAAGCTTATGTTGTTTTGGATCGACCAATAAATTAAGCGTTTGCAGGAAATCTATACTAAGTTTGGGTACGGACATGTCTGCCGCTACAAATTCTGACTAAACGACCGGCCAAAGTTCATTAATTTTCGTATCCTATGCATTTTTATATCAGACGTATTTGCTTCTTTGAATACTAACGTGGTATCAATCTTTCTCTTCTCTCCATCTACGGTGGTATGACATTGATCTCCACTCTGATTTCAACGAAAGTTTGTACGCCCGTTGTTCGGTCTTGTATATAAGATAGACAATTTTTCTGAGCCTCAGCAGTCATCATCTTTGCTTTAGGTTCCTGAATCTATAGGGTGGTGTATTGTTCGTCTGTACTTGACTGAGATGCTGGTTGATGGTTCGCTAGTAAGTTACAGAAGCGGCTTTGGTCACTGCCTCTCCAACGTCGTATGACTTTTCGTCGTTTAGCTTAAATATTACGTAAAATATGCAATTCACAGCTTCATCTGGGAATGTGAATTGGCATGGTCGAATTCATTTTTTGAAGATGAATACTATTGACCATTAAGTAATTTTTGATTCTGACGAACCAAAGTCGTTGGTTTGAGGCCCTAAAAGCATGAAAGGAAAGATTAACAGCACCCATGGACGAAGTATGGCAAAGACCTATCAGTCTTTCAAATATATTTTTATAAATGGTTAATAATACACAAATATATAAATATATATGAAAGAAAGTTCTCTACAGCCAGTAACACTGAGAATGATAAGTGATACAATATTATAAAATGGAACAGACTTAGCAGATAGCACCAATATATCAATCTTTGGTATAATTTAATTATTTATAATCTTTAATACGAAGAAATTATGTCCAACAGTATTCATGAGGTAAAATATGAGTGTAATAGATACGGCAATGATAATCATCGAACAGTAACAATCTGAATTAGCACGATGTTCACTGATTTTCAATTTTCAGCAGTATTATAGAAAGTTGTGTTTTTTTTTATGCTCAACTAACCAATTTCTGTTGAAGAATATCTTTGATACCATTCCTATACTTCGTAAAATTAACGAAATGAATACACGTTATTAACATAATTTCCAGGAGGAAAAGTAAAGTTGTGGCAACCATCTATTTTAAGCATAACTCACATCGAATATATATTGCTGCAGCTTAAAATAAAACTGTCTTTTCCCTGTAGGTCGATTGGAGGGCTTAGTAAATTTGAACCTTTACAAACTCAAGTGAGAATTAGATACCATTATGGAAATTTGTTTACTCAGTTTTCTGCTAAATAATCGAATGTAACATTGTTTCAAATAAACAAAGATGGATCTTTGCTTATAATGCATATGACTTAATTCAATACGCTTAGTATGCACGTATACCAATAGGAGAGTGATCAATTGCAGTCCTAAAAATCAATGAGAAGATTCAAGAAAATAACACCATGTTTCAAATATTTATATCTGTTATAATAATGCATTATACTACTTATTCAATATGCATAGTACAATTACTAATTACGCAATTTTGTTGTAATATTTTTCTAATGCAATGTTTCATCATATGACCACCCAATTTGTTACACGACATTGAATGTAAAATCTTGACGTAAAAATTCTGTGACTATTTTAAAGTATTTAGTAATAAAAAGTTATCTTATTATGGCCTAACAAGATACCACATTCTAATATTACATTCCATGATGTTTTTTGTCAATGTACACTGATATTTTCTCTTGTTTGGACATTTCCATAGGATCCTCTTATTCGAATGAATATATGCAGTTTATGGCTATGAATGTCGAAAAAGATGAGTGGGAAATAGAATAGTGACTAACTATTATTTAATAGATGAATTTTAGCATTTAAGTATTCAACGAAAAGCATAGATAATTATTTTGTTATCTTGAATGACAAATTCTTCGATTTTAATTTACATATTAACTGTTAATTATCTTTGTATAGTGGTGACAAATTATTCTATATTCAGTCAAAAGATTAGAAGATTTTAATGCAGAAATTTTTCCCCATGATGTCATTTGCTATAGCATTAGGGTCGCATTCATTTTTGGTTTTTATACATTGTAGTGTTTCATGTATCATATGGTTTCATTTAACAAATTCATTTATCATTGTATCAGCTCGTATATTAGTCTTCTTACTCGTATGTAGTAACGTGCATTGGTCACCTAAGTCTTATACTTTTCAAACGGATATCCGAGCATTATCTTAATTGGCTATCTAAAATTGGAAATAGAAGTAAATCAGCAGCTCAATCCTGGAATACCTCGTTAACTCTGGTCATTTACAATCACTGTAATTACATTTTAGTATCATCTTTGAATTCAAAAGTATTGACCTAAAGGGGGGAGGTTTGGGTTAGGAGCTTATGTATGTTTGGGGCTAGAACAATATACTGATCTCTGTGTTGAAAAGTGTACAATTATTGGTTTACTCAATTTT